AGACAGTCCTCTCCCCAGCCACTTCCGTCAGCTCTTCCGCGGGAACCCCGAGGCGTTCCCAGGCCAGCCGGGTGATGTAGTCCCTCCAGCGTGTTCTGGGGCGGCCCCGAGGTCTCCTCCCGGTTGGACACGCCCGAAACACCTCCCAAGGGAGGCGTCCGGAAGGCATCCTTACCAGATGCCCGAACCACCTCAACTGGCTCCTCTCGATGTGGAGGAGCAGCGGCTCTACTCCGAGTCCCTCCCGGATGTCTGAGCTCCTCACCCTATCCCTAAGGCTGAGCCCAGCCACCCTGCGGAGGAAACTCATTTCGGCCGCTTGTACTCGCGATCTCATTCTTTCGGTCACTACCCAGAGCTCGTGACCATAGGTGAGGGTTGGAACGTAGATCGACCGGTAAATTGAGATAATGAAGCCACATTCTTAAAATGAAAAAGCATTTCTGCAAATACATTTTAATTTAAATATTAGTCACGATTCGCTTCCATAGAATTCAGCTTATATTCCTTGGTTAATACTTGTGGAGGGACATCTCTATACAAATGTTATAAGAAATATATTAAGAAAATTTTCACACTCTTTTGCATTGTGGAAACGACTTTTTCTGTATACGTCCCAATTTTTAGCTTTTCATGGTCAGAACACAGCTCGTTGAAATACTGAATAAATAATGCATCTAGTACCAATAATTTACCATCAGTGGACAAAAATTTAACAAAACAGGCAAATACAAAAAAGTGCCAGTGTCTTGAGTGAGACAGGCAGTCACTCTCGATATTGTTATAGCAATGGTAGGATACAGATACTCCAGAACACAGCAGTTATAGACCATGGTATGCCTTCATTAATGCCCAGAGAGGAAATTCTGGTGTTACAGTAGCTCAAGGACAGATGTAGTAGCCTACTGATAGACAAAATTATCAAAAGCTTGTGTTTATTGTTTATTGTCATTAATTGAAAACAAAACTTTAATATCCAACTGGTGGGAGGCGCTGGGGTGGACCCAGAACACACTGGAGGGATATATATCTCGTCTGACCTGGGAACGCCTTGGAAGCCTCCAGGAGGAGCTGGAAATCATGTTGCAGACAGGGACATCTGGAGTAGCTTTGCTCAGCCTGCTGCCCCGCAACCCAGCTCTGGGTAAGTGGATAAAAATGGATGGATGGATGGAATTCTCCACTGTGACATCTAGTGGCAGTATTTTGACAGAGTTATATTTTTGGAATAAAGTTTTTAAATAGTTGATAGTGATTGAGATTGTTAATAGAAATGTTGTATGGGTGCTGACTTTGTCAGTATTTTATTTTTCATTTATCACAGAGCTCACATGTTTTATTTTTTTTATTCATGGTGTTTGCACTGCAGCTCATGCTGAAATAAGCTGGATAAAAAGGCCTGGAAACTGGAATAGTCTGGATGAAATCCCCCCCCCCCCACCCCTTTACACCGACTGCCGAACCAATCACGTCAATGCAAGGAGTGACATCTCTAATAGGTGGGGGTGAGGGCATTTGGGACGGCTTCGCTAAATCTACAAACTGTTTACCTTCTTAGGGAAAGTTCATCGGCCGCCGCTGTGCTGCTGAGAACTTGTACAGTAAGTGGGCCATCAGCTGAACTACAGGTTTTTTAGAGCAGGCGCGACGTAGCCTGTTCGTTTAAGTTCTGAAGCAGTTTCGAAGTGAGGTGTGGTGTTGTGACGTGAAGATGATACCTCTGATGTTTACCAGCGTTTTAGCAGGACTACTGGCTCTTCTGCTTTACCAGAGAATGAATTATCCATTCTTCTGGGTGGATCTGATTTATTATTTGAAACTTCGGAAGTATAGAAGGACGTCGCAGGCTCGTATGCAGCAAGGAATCATCACATACCTCGACTGTTTTCTCTACCAGGCGAGGAATAACCCGAACAAACCCTTCATCATCTTCGAAAACCAGTCTCTGACCTACCAGGATGTGGACAAGAGAAGTAACCAGTTCGCCAACGCGTTCAGGACACTGGGCTCTTTGAAACAAGGAGACATTGTTGCCCTGTTGATGTTCAATGAACCGGACTTTATTTGTGTTTGGTTGGGACTGTGTAAACTGGGCTGTGAAGTTGCCTTTCTCAACGTCAACATAAAAGCCAAGTCTCTTCTTCACTGCTTTCATAGTTGTGGAGCCAAGACGCTTGTTGTCGGCGCAGGTATTTCACGTTTCCCCACACCGTCTTCACGCAGTTTGGGCTTTTATTTTAACTAAGGTCAACTCTCCTGCTGACTGTGCGTTGATTGATGAAGCTCGACTCTGCCAACATGATCTTCCCACAGAAATGGGAATGATTGCGATTTACACACAAAATAAGATACACATTAGAAAGCCTGTTGTTATTGTAATACGCAGAGGAGGCTAAATCACACACGTTGGCCTCAGCAGGGCCAAACAAAGACTTTTTGGGGGGCATTAGTTAAGGTTCCCAGAAATTGTTCTGGAGAGTTTTCTGTCGTAGGCTACTTTAATACAGTTTTGGTACAAATACATAAAAAAGACAGCATTCATTGTAGGGAGGCACGATATTGGAATTCTGGCTTATGCCGATACCAATATATCTACTTACGTTTCTCCACCCAGTTGCAGAGAACATCAAGTCTCTCCTGTAGTGGAACTGACATATAATTATGTCTACTCTAATTGTGATGGCCCTGGTGGCGGATTCAGACATAAAATACAATGCCTTTAAAAATGCACACTAGGCAAAACAAGAAAATTAATTTAACATAGGGTACATGTAAAACATGTCATAATTGTTTTTATGTAACAATTTCAAAGAAAACTAAAATTCATCCCACTTAAACAGGCTTGAGTAATGGTCTCCCTAAGACAGTCCTGACAATGTTGAAGACTAAGGCTAATTTGACCTATTTCAACTAACAATAGTCATGTAATTATTAATAAATTAAGTTACTATTTCCATAAACTGTGCAGAGTGCAGGTGTAATAAAAAGTGAAAGCCACCTATCATTTCTAAGAGCAAATTTAGCTAACGAAAACAAAAATATATTCAATAAAATAAGATTAAAAATACAAGTAAGTAAAAATTGATGTGGAACATGGGATAGAAGATATGGAGCCAGTTAAGATATAATTTTGCAGAATGAAACAGCAATCAGGAAGAAGTACCCAGAAATACCACAGTGTAAAAGGTGCTACACGTAAAGTTTTACTTGAGTTAAAGCACAGAAATATTATTAGCATAATGCACTTAATATATCAAAATTAAAAGTACTTGATCTGCAGGATGTTTCATTTTACACTGTTATAATACTATATAATTATTATTATATATTATTAGCTTACTGTTTTTGATGCATTAATGTGTTAGCATAATTTTAAAGCTGTGGTAGGTTGAGGTGGAGAATATTTAAACTAACTGATATACTTTTAAATAAAAGATTACAATATTCATCTTTTTCTTAAGGTAAGTTAAATAACTTGAAAAGTAACTAGTAACTGTAGCTGTAAGATAGTGTAAATGAAGTGGAGTGAAAACTACAATATGTCTAAAATGTAGAAGCAAAAGGTAATAGGAAATTAAGATACTTAAGTAAAAAACAATTACCTCAAACTTGCACATAGTACAGTTTTTGAAGGAATGTAAAGTGTTACTTTCAGCTGCCAATATACAGATACTGTAAAGGATAAAGATATAGGGGTAAATCATGAGATATAAGTTATTAAATGTAATAATTTGTTTCAAGTGTTTCCTTGGGTCTGCAGCAGATAAAATCAGAGTCTTCATTATCCTTGTGTCCTGAGGGTAGAGGTTCTTCCTGAGCCTCTCAGTCCAGGCCTGGTGTAACCTAAGCAGGGAGAAAAGGCTGTTATCTGGGTGGTTGGGAATTTAATAATTCTCCCGGCCTTATTTTTGCAGCACCTGGTGTGAACATCCTTTAGGCAGGGTAGAGCAGCGTCTATAGTGTGTTCAGCTGAACGAACTACTCTTTCATTGTCATGCTCTGTAAATGATCACAGAAGGTGTTGACTTTACCTCAACCTCACACACATTATGACAGGAACACCATAGAGTATAATTTAGTCTTATACAATGGCACAAACTACAGCCTCTAAAAAACATTGAGTGGAATCAGCAGCTCTTTGTGCATGTTTGTTTACTGGCTTTGGTTCTGTCTGATAAAGCAGCAGTATGATATCCCTTCATGTCTGTTTATCCAGATCTGGTGCATTTGGTGGAGGAGGTGTTGCCTGACCTGAAGAAGAACAATGTGGCTGTGTGGGTGGTGGATCACACATCCCCTTCTGAGGATTTTAACACATTACTAGATAAGGTGGAACACATGGCTGGAGAAACCCTAAGTGACCTTCCTAAAGTTGACATCATGTCCAACTTTCTCTTCATTTTTACCTCAGGCACCACAGGTAATGCACGAACATTGTATTATTATATCACCTACAGATGGCCAGCGCTTTTACTGTGCCAAAATCACATCTAAACTACTCTTGTGGAGACATTGTTGTAATTATAAAAAAGACTGGAGAAATACTACTTGGATCTGACAGAAGCTGACAAAATAATGTCAACACAGGCCCACTTAGTAGCTTCTTACCATCAGAATTTATATACTATATATATATGTGATCCCAAAGACCAGCAACATGGCAAATACAATACAATATCATACTGTAAATTGAGATTCAACTGATTGTAGTAAGTAAGTAAGTAAAAATGACATTTATGGATTTTTAGCCGCCTTAAGAGTATCTTCAGTATTTTTAAACCTGGACAGTGTTTTCCCACATGTTTGTGTCTAAGTGACTACTGGGAACAACAACTTTTGAAACTGGGTCAGTACTGAGCAAGGGTGCAGCAGTGCTGGCAATGGCAATTTCGAGGCTGTTTCTGTTTAAACAAAAAAAACATCTCACTCTTTAACAGAAAGTTCTATCTCTGTAGACATCCTGTCCATTAATATGTCAGATGCTTAGAATAACAATCTGAGCCTGTCAGCGGTAAAAACAAGAACTTTTGGTGGACATACATTGACGATATGGGCGTCTGTGGGTCAGAGGTAGAGTGGGTCGTCCACTAATCCGAGGATCAGCAGTTCAATCCCTGGCTCCTCCAGTCTGCATGTCAAAGTATCCTTGGCTGTTCGCTGGCTGTTCCATTGGTGTGTGAGTGTGTTAAAAACTGAGTAGCAGGTGGCACCTTGTATGGTAAATAAATCCAAATGTCAGCACTCACAAATATCATATATATCAGTCTTTTAATAACGCACAGCAGTATCACAAACGGACGCGTTTCAGCACTTGGCTTTCCTCAGCGTTAATGCACAAAGTGGGTATAACCCACATATCTAACAGACAGGACCTTGCTGAATCACTCCAGCTGGCATGAATCAGTCAATCAACCAATCGGATCCAGAGATCCACAGAGCAAGATGTAAAGACAATACAAAGAGTGGCCAATAGGTATGCTGAGCCTACAATCCAATTAAATTAAAATTAAAATAATCAGATGACCAACCTTAGTACGCCAAAAACTATCTCAACAGTGACTGATCCAAAAAAACTTGAACAGATCAAGTATAAATACATATATAAACATCCAGATAAGTAATGTCATGAAAAAAGTGTAATCACTCTAAAGGTAAATCCTATATAATGGCTATATCAGCCAAACAAGCAATAATCACAATACAATGATCAAACAATA